CAAAGAAGAAGCATTCATTTCAAATTTCAAGCACAGCCTGATGAGGAAGGTATACGAAGAACCTAGCATGTGTGTACCGGCTCCCCAAAAAAACTCCCTCCAACGCTTCGAGTCGCGTGCCGGTACGTAATGCTATACAGCACGTAGGGTGACCTCTCGCCAAACTATGCCTGAGCCCCCCAAAGAAACAACCCTGCACACAAGTAAGTTTTAATAGTAAGGGTAAGAGGCCCGTCAATCTACAGTGAAATCCGAGAGCAATCGTTGTGTACAATATAGTGAGAGACCCCACCCCTCCATCTACCGAGAGAGAGAATATTTCCGCACGCCAAGCACCGCTGTAACCCGCCGTCCCCCGACCAAAAGAAGCAATGTACGTAAAAGAATGCTAAAACAATTAATGCTCTTATCGGAGGAATAACAGGACGGCATCAACAAGCCCTTGAGAAACCCTGTAGCAAGAAGACGTGGAAGTGAATATGATACAACACCTTCCGAATACCCGGGTCTGTCAGGCCCGATTTCATCGACTCAGCTTGACTACACTCAACACAAATGTAGAGGCGGCATTTCACGCCCAGGTGGACACGGTCAGATCGCCAACAATGAGAATGCATGTACACGGGGTGATGAGGTGAGACAACACGGTATCTGACGGCAGGCAACATCCCCCTACTTCCATGCCCGCAAAATGAACTAAAGTAGGCCGTGGAAACCCAGCTTTCGCGTTTTTGCCCACTTCGTTTCACCCTTTGTATGCAGCCATGTTAAGGTCTAGTTCTAAGACTACTGTAAGCGGTTGCCAAACCACGGAAATTCATACACTACGTACAGCCTAAGCAACATATGGACTCTCGATCGTCAGCACAAAGCAGTCAACTACTACCCTAAAACCAGATACAACGTCGATCCCAAATACAAAAAAAAGAAGAGCGAAAAGAGCTCATGCCGTCGGAAATCGTTGTGTCTCTACATGTATGTACTAATTACCCTACCAACGTGGTAGACACTACCGTGGGCTGACGACCTAGGTCGGGGGAGGGAGATGAGTAGAAACACACACAAAAAAAAAGCTTCGCGAAGTCTCTCTCTCTCTCACTCTGGCCACTTTCATCCACCAGTACACACAAACTGCCCGGGACTGCGTTTCTACAAAAAAAGCCGCAACAATCAAACCCCTGGGGCAGACTGACTGCTACCTCAGGCGGCCTCTGCTTTGATCTTGTGCTTGATGACGCTTTCTACAAACGCGTGCCGGTTCTGTTCTTAGGCCCCTCCCCCGAGGTGGAGGCCTTCGACATGATAGATACAGCAGTTCCCAGAGGCGCATTCTCTCATGTATACAAGCCGTCGCCGGCGCATGAATGCCTGCTCACGCGGAGCGGAACGGTAGGGTTGTCGGGGTGACAACATTCTCATCGCCTTGAAGAGATAGCCCGTCCCCCCCTGCCCAAAACAATAACGTACAGCTGCCCACTGGCCACACGGCGGTTACATGGCCAGTAACAAGACAACAAGACACAGCCTAGTCACCAGGGTACGCCCATGTGAAACCCCACGCGTGCGCACCCCCCCAAACACCCTGAACAGCGCTCGATGGCCATATCCACCAGCGACGGGACATATGTCGCCGTTTCGACACGCAACGCAAGAACGAGAAAAAAACAAACAAACAGTTCCGTTGGGTTCTGCTGCAGCACATCGGCGTTTCGGACACGTAGCGTAAGAACCGCGGAAAAGCAGCCAGTTCCGCTGGGCTCTGCTCCTTTCTTCGCTTATCCCAGAGAATCGTCGTCTCCTCCCGCCGGCTCCATGTCCATATCTTCATTAGATGCACACGGGGGACCGGGGGTGGGACGGCCATCTAAATGTTAAAATGTTTGACAAGCATCGAAAGGGGAGGGGGGGGGAGGATAGCGATAGCCTCTCGGGGCCAGGGATCCTCACACGATACCAATTCTTACCGTACGCTCTCGAGCATTTTCCATTCAATCGAACAGCACTCAAGGGAAGTCGAGAGTGCGGTCGGGGAACGGTGCCGCCGCCGGCCCATGCCTCGCGTGAACTTCATGACCCAACCCTTTTCGTCCTGCTGTCTGCCTCTGTGTACATGTTAGCTTGCCCTATCTCTCTGTATCTCACTCTCTCCCTCTGTCCGCCTCTGTGCATCGGTCTCCAGGGCCGCTAAAGTGAATCCCTCTCCCATCCTCCCGTTCCCGACGTCTCTATCACCCCCACCCCCCCCCCTCATCGCTCACCGCCCATGATATACCCCGGGCAGGTGTCGTTGTCGTTCTCTTGGTCCATGTCCGCATCGTCCTGCTCCTCCTCCTCATCATCATCATCAGCATCGCTGTCCGACCCCAGCATGTCCTCCATCACGTGAAGCTTGCTGTCGGGTCAGTCACAGCGGCAGAACGAGTGGGAGGAAGAACAGATGAAAAGACAACAGGCAGGATAACGCAAGAAGGAGAATAAGATGGTCATGGACAAACACATAATGTACTCGCGGCATTTCCTCCACACTACTGCTGGCAGTTGTGCTGGCAGCGAACCCCGCAATACCGCGACGGCATAGATCGGATGGATTTGGCCACACCTCAACCATAAAATGACAGCACGGTGCCGAGACTCGTGCGTTTCCATTGTTCGCTTGGTTCAGCTTACTCATGCTCATTGGAGAGACACTTCTGCCATGCGATCCCCTATCCAAATCGACGTGCTAAGCAGCGTCCCTTTCCTCGCTCAAGGCTGCCAAAAATCGAATTTCTCCTCGACTGCTAGCCGGCTGGCGCGGTAGACACGCGCATAAATACCCCACAAAATAATAACAATGGTGCAAAACACACGCACCCATCACATTTGGCAGCCGGTGAGCGCGGTCTATTATGCTAGCGAACACGACACAAACCTCTTCGTGGTGCAGTGCAGGAAGAGCACTCTCTTGAGGTTCTTGTTCAGGAAGAAGTGGTTGAAGGACCACAGGCACCCCTCGGTGAAGGGGTCTCCCTCCATGTCCGGCGAGTAGGAGTAAACCTTGTTTCATCCAAACAAACAAACAACAACACAGCGGCGGCAACAACAACAACAACAACAACAACAACAACAACAACAGCAGCAACAAGTAAGAACCGGACCCAACAGTATTCGCAGACCTCATCCATTCCACAAAAGAGGAAACAGCGGCGGCGATAGCAACGAAGAATCAGGTCCAATTCATCAAATAATTTACCACGTGATTTCCGCGGGAAGAAGAAGCTCATTCATTCGAAAAACAAAGCAGCGGCGGCAACATCAACCACACGGCGAACCGTGAGTGTCATCACCTCCTTTCCACAGAGGACCAAAAAAGAAAAAAAATACCGACTAGCCGAAGCGTAGCTCAGTCGGATGCGTTCCGTCTTCTTGTTGTTAGAACTAGCTATGGTTCCCAGACGATGGCGAAAAAAAGAAGCAAAGCACCTAAATCTTATCACACGCAAACGCACAAGAGCAACCTATCAATAGGAGATTGTGTAGAATAGTCCCGATTTATAGACGCACGCTCACCTCGCAGTCCTTGAGCGTCATCACCTCGTCCAAGTCGGCCCAGAAGCTCTCCAGGAATATCTTGTTGTGTATCACGGACACCTCCGCAAGGGCGGCGTTGACCTGATCGAGAAAGACGCATGCACGGCAGACGGACAAAAAACACCAACACGACGCAGAAAACGACAAAATCAAGGGTTATTAGGGCCATTGTAGAGAATAGGGCATTTTGGTGCCGTCATTTGGACACGGGGAGAACGGTTTTTCGTGAGAAAAACAAACAACAAACTGTACTCGATTAGGTCCACGACCGTTGCAATGCTGTTCGAGGACAAGAAGCACGTGGACGTGCTGTCTGAATAGTAAATAACTTGCAAAAACATCTGGGAAGGGGCGGGCGAGAGAATAAGGCCCCCAAATGTTCGAGGCGTCCCCGTCGTCGCAAGAACGCCAAGCTGCTCGCCGCCTGCGCACCTTATTTCTCACGAGGCTGACGCTGGCCTCCTTGTCGAAGCTGTCCGGCCTAACACCGCTGAAGTCGTAGTCCGGGAAGGAGGCGTTCATGGTGCAGATAAGGTCCACCAGCGTCCGACGCACCCCGACATCGGTCAACACCCCGAAGCTAGGGGACGTGCCAAAGGCCGCCCCCGCCGCCGCGCCGCCGCCGCCGCCACCCGCAGTAAACCCGCCCGCTGCGGGGGTGGTGGTCGTCGGAGTAACGGCGGCGGCGGAGGCCGCGGAGGGCGCTGATGATGACCGGGACGGGGTCGGTAGGGAGGCGCTGAGCTGGCGCTCGAGTTCCTTGGACAGTCGCTTGTCGTCGCCGGCTTTTTTGCCTGCGAGTGGTGGTGGCGGTGTTCGTTGTTGTCAAAAAAAAGAGAGGGGGGCTGTTGCGTGGTGAGATGGCTGAAAGGTGTTGTCGGTCCCAGTTCCCCCTCTTCCGCACCCTTGGTTTGATGAGACAAGCTTCCGCCGTGGCGGGGGGGCCAAAACAGGGTACGCGTAAATCAAACATCTCAAAGCGTCAAGGTTGCTGGCAGAAAAAACAAGTTGAGGAAGACACACGATCCCCGTGAAGCAAGCAGAAAGCCCGTGGCTCGAATTCGGAGCTCGACTCAAATTCAGTTTTTACTGCATCGGCAAGCTACTAGGGTAGACATAGACCTTCAATGCGGGGTTTGATAACCAAAAGCTGGCCGGTCCACCACGACAGCCAACATGAAGAGGCGCACCCTTGCATCCTCACGAAATCACGGGGAATGTTTTGAGAGTCGTGGTTTCCAAGTTGGCGAGGTCTCCCACAAGTATTGCCATATCCTACAAGTTACCTTTTCGTTGATGTCATGCATACATCCCACAGAGCACAAAGCACAAACAACTGCCATAAATGGGGACGAAGTTGGGCAAACGAAACCAACTCCCATCCATCCACCCGGAACACGCACGCGCAGGCGAATGCCGTTCAAAAAACAAAAATCACAACTCGTTTCGTCGTCGGCGGATAGCTTCTGGAATACTGATGTATGGGTTGGCAACACAAAGCACAAAACCACCCCAAAAAGGCTTGAATCAACATTCGTGCGCAACGTTGGTGCAAGGCGGCTGCATCATGCGTATGCAAACGTGTACAGCAACAACCAAACCGCCTTTTTGAGTCTAGTCGTTGGAACAGATAAAAAAAGTCAGCGTCAGGCAACGCGCCCCCTAGCTTCCTGATCGAAAGCACTTCAAACAGCTTGTGTAAAGGCATGCCAAGTGCGGTACACTTGACGGTTCGACGGCAGGGGTACGGTTCTGTTCTTGGACGGATGTACTGGGCACCAGAAACTTCTCATGGGGTTGCCATCAAGCAGTGGTGTAAAAACTCTGGTTGTGTCTGTAAATACCGAGAAGAGATTAAAAGCTACCTTATAGACACACATACCCTGTGCGGCATTATCTGCTAATACGGTGGCCCCCGTTCAAACAGACGGCCGAAGGTGTGCCTGTGCCGAGAGTTCTCGCCAACGTTTTCCGATGAACTTCGCGACAAACCGTTCCAACTGCTGTGGTAGAAAAGAGCATATCTCTCGTAACGTACGTTCATGCGCCATCCCTCGCCCCGTTACTCTGTGGTGAACGAGGTAGGTCTGGCAGAGGACATTGGCCACGGGTCAGCGACCCCCGCGCAGCACAGAGAAGAACAGATCACCCAACCATGGTTTGTGTTGTCGGTGATCATGATCCTGCGGGATCGCGCTTCGTGTACTGCTGCGTCGAACAATTCGTACGCACTATAGTAAAACTATACTGACTGTACAGCATTCAACACAACCAAGGGTTTCAAGTAGAGGAGGCGATAGAAGTGGGAGACTCCCCCCGCTTTGCTTCGAGATTAGCCCTATGGGAGGGAGTCGTGATGCGGCGTGGAGCAAGTGGGAAGCAGCAGACCACGGCGAGATGTTTCGAAAGGAACTTTTGCCGTGCACGATAAGGCCACGAGGCCCCGCGAAATGGAAACGCTGGGTACCACCGCGAGACTGGTGTTCATCGCACACCCCTCAAACAAACCATTTCTCAAAGCTCGACTTATACCCCACTGCTGTGGTACCAAGCAAGAGGTTGCGCTAGACGGACCGATTCGCGTGAGGAAATCTCTGAACGAAACGCTTTCAAACCCACCGCCCTCACTGAGTATCGGTGCCATCATTGGCTGATGCGGAGACGCCCTCAAAAAACGCCTTGAGGAAACGCTAAATAGCGGAGACACTTCACTGGCATGCCTACAAAAAAGTGAACCATTTTGGAAGAGGCAGTTGTGTGGTACGTACTCTCAAGACAAGTGCGGGGAGGCGGGCGCAAAGAGGATAGTTAGCCCACGCTGAGAATCGCCCAAACACACACACGTAGGAACGAAAAAGCACAAAAGAAGGAGAGCCCATGGTTGCTGTGTGTCAACCATTTATCCACTGGCTCGGTGGGTGTCGCCACAAGACGACTGAATGTCTGTCCGCCTGGAACATTAGATTCGGCATCACTAACGGCTTGAGGGCGAGGTCCTGTACAAACGTACCGACGTGTAGTATACGTCATTTTGAAAAAAACTGCGCGAACTAAATTCTCGTCGGGGATACCATAAACAAAATATATTTAGTGCTGGGCATGTTTTGCTTTGGGTATGTTTGTAATGTTCAGTTTTGGGGGCGCATAGATGTACAGCAGTAAGACCACACACGACGTCCTGATGCTACACCGTTGTGTTTCTCCTACAACACTCACACGAAAAGGCGTCCGTGCGGACGGACAGCAGCCTGTCCCCAAGCTCCACGCTCCGCAGGAAGTTGCTCCAGTAGGCAAGTCTAGGCTCGTCCAGATACTTCATCGCGCTCCTCTCTTCCTTCTTGCCTTCCTCGCAGCCTCTGATCCGGGGGTATATCTATTTGCGGGGGATTTAAAAACAATAGCAACAGCGGGAAGCAGCAGTTGTTGACTTGTTTCCCCTCGGATGGATCCCTCCGGAAGCCGGCACGTGGGTCGAAGTTGCTGTATGCATATGACCGTTCCTACGTCTACTCCAGAGCGCTTCTAAAATGCGGATGCCTTATATTATCCGCTCTCTCTCTGGTGCTGCCTAGCTACACACACGCGAAGGGCCCTCTCCCCGCCCCCTCTGTGCGGGCTCTCACCTGGTAGGCTTACTCCTCCTCGTTTAAAGATGAGCAAAGCAGGTTGGGCCCACGATTTCGGAAAGGCACGGAATCGGATGTGTCGCGATGTATGCTCGAGTGATCCGTGGTTGCGACTGTTTGGGAACGTGCGGTAAGAATATGGAGCTCCTGAGAAGCTCCGGCGGCGGCAGCGGTAGCTGAGTACGTGGTGTTGGCGATCCGTAGCGTTGTTGGTGGGCCTAAGTTCATGCCAGTTCGGAGAGTAAAGTAGCGAGACGAGGAGTCCTCACAGGGGGCACGACAGAGGAAGAAAACAGTTGAGAGAGAGGGGGGTATGGTGGCACCGTGTCTGCATTCTGCTACGCGCCCACAGCCGCAGCTATGTAGCAGTGTACAGCAGCAGTGTCTTCTGGAAGAGCGTGGGCAGGTGAGAGGCAGGAGGGTGCCCGACCCTTGGTCGGCAAGCTTCTGTGTATGTTGGAGGCCTTCCACTTTCGTGCTGAGGCTTTCCGTGACGAGAGCATAGGGTGAGGACAGGAGCTCCAGCTGCGGAAGCTACGTAGGTACCTGATAGCTAGCCGCCAGCACCGAGGTAGCAGCAGTAGACTTAGTACTCTTTCGCGCACAGCACGGGAGTAGTGAGAGCACGAGAGAAAGAGAAGGGTGGAGCAGAAGATGGCGTTCTGTGTTGGAGCGGAGGCAGCAACATTTTATTCACCGCCGGTGTCAGTGGAGGGAAGGAAATTCCCCTTTTCAAATTGTTCTTCGGACGGCGGGGAACACAGCAGTTCTGGTTCTACTTTCTATTTTCAAATCGTTTGTTTGGATCTGAGGTGTGTGCTCTCGCGTCCCGACGCCGCCGTTCACGTATTCCAAGGATCTCGCCCAGCCCACAGCATACGCGTGATCCGCTCCTTTTATTTTCGCCCCGTGTATCCTGCTGCAACGGCCTGTGTTACAGTCGTGGGGATTGTAAACCTCTGGCCAAAAACTGTCTTCTTCATTTTACTTCTATTTGTGTTCATGTTATTCATATTACCTCTGCTGGCTGGCTCTGCCTTCGACCTTCGACGGGTGTGCGGCAGCCTGACCCCTCAGGCGGAACTCAGTGAGACCACTCTTGCTCTGCCTGTTTTTACACGCAAAGGTTTGCTCTGCCCTACCTATACACAAGAGCCGGCCCGTACACTCTGTTTTTGCTCTTTCGCCGTGCAAAGTTCCAGCTCTGCCCTGCTCTCTTTCATTGCTGCGGGATGCCGTTTCAGGAGTCTTGTTGAAACGTGGACAGCCTGATGGGTGTTACAGCAACAGCAGTATTGCCTTGTAGGTTCAGCGGCAAGAGGAGCCATAACAAGCAAACAGTACATATGCACGCAATCAGCTTGACAACCTACGCGCAAACAGTTCCTACAACGCTGGTTTCGAACTGAGGGTTGTTGGCGTACGCTACAACCAGCAGTACGAGGCCCCAGCTGCCCTAAGAGTCCAGGCAGGTTCGCCTCGGAACCTAGTCGGGCAGCCATAGATAGCTTCATGTGGTACCTGATACCCAAAAGCTATCCTGTACCGACCACCCCCCGAGATTAATCATGTCGCTCGCTGCCGGTGCTGGTGTTGCTGTCCTCTGGTGTGTGTGGTTAGCCGGGGAGAGCGGGCGAGCCATCTACCTAGTTCCGCTGGCTCTTTGTCGGCAGTTGGGTGTGTCAAGTGTGAGGGCGCGTGGAGGAGATACATCAGGGAGAACATGAGCGTGTCGGCGCCGGCGGGGGGAGGGGGCGGCGAGGGCAGGCCTGACAATGTCGGCATCCTGGCGGCCGATGTCTACTTTCCCAGCACCTTTGTCTCTCAGGTAAGCAAACATGCGCACCACCACCAACAACAACAAGAAGAGCATGCGAACGCGGCCCGTGCGGAGCAGGTGGGGCGGTGTCTTTCCGTCGCCGTGCACGGAGGCATGTCGCATGTTGTAGAGCTCTGCAGCCGGGCGCTACTCTACAGCCTCTGTATGCACGATCATGTGGCAGTGGTGGGATCACGGTGACAGACCACCCTTTCCGCTGTCTGATTTCCGGAAAAGCGCTTGGCGAAAACTAGTCACACGTCTCTGCAAGCTGCGGGAGTACAAACAGCATTCCGCGTCACGCCCCTCCTAGGTAGCAAGTTAAGCTCTCGACGGATCAATGCGCGTCGTCAACAGCAGTGTCGTTGATTATGTATGACGGACCCTCGCTTGTTGTCGGCGACACACACGCGGGCTTGCGCCGCGCGGCCCTTCCCGAGCAGGAAGACCTGGAGGTGGCGAACGGTGTGTCGGCCGGGAAGTACACGATCGGCCTGGGCCAGGAGGCGATGGCCTTCACCGGGTGAGCACAAAAGAAAATATATGTGAACCCAGAAGACGAAACACTCTGAGGCGATGCCGTTCGTGCGTGCTGCTGTACCGTGGAGGGTTGGTTTCGTCGGTAGGGGTGTGGTGGGGGGATGGAGATGGGCGCGATTGGGATGAAGTACTCATGCTGGGGCGGACGTGAAAGTGTTGTCTAGTCTTTTTCGAACTTCCTACTTTCATGGGGTTGGAGGCGCCATGCGTTTGGTTGGTAGGGGGCGTCTTCTGGCATGCGTGCTACACGTGAATGCCAAGACCAGGGCGAGCAATATTTTGGATTCGTCTGTCTTTGTTTGCCTACCTGTATGTCTCTCTAACCCTCCACGGCACTCTCTAGCCTTCGGGAGAGAGTGTGGTGGAGGTTGTGCAGAGCGATGTTCTCGTTTGTTGTTTGTGGTGGATGCATCCTTCAACGCTGACCAGCTGTTTGACGTAGCAGAACAACGTGATGTAGACACGACCAACACTAGTCAAGGTCAAGACAGTGGTCAAGCTACATCCTGGTCAGGCACACACGCCACCAGTTGAAGGTACACTCGCAGAAGCCGTTGCCGTTCGATGTTATCTTGTCAAGCCATGCCGAATTTTCCCGCCCTGCCGTGCTCGTGGGAAACAATGACGACAGGGACCGAGAGGACATCAACTCGATGTGCTTGACCGTGGTGGCCCAGCTGCTGGAGAAGTACGACGTCCCCAAGGACCGCATCGGCCGCATCGAGGTGTGATTGGCTGGCTGATTTTGAGTTTTCTCTTCTACGGAGACCCATACGTGGCGTTGTCGGGTAGGAAGTCGTCATGTTTTGTCGATTTTTCATGCAACCGTAGATGACCACTCGACACAGACTCGTCGTGTTTCCTCTATCTTGTTTTGTACCCGAGAGTTGCGTGAGGTTGTGTCCTTTCGTGTGAACGTTCGGTGGTTTTGCTCGCGAGAGCGCACGCGTCGTCTTGTCTTCTCTCTGCCTGTCTCTTTTGTATCCTTCGCCATCCTGTCCCAGATGCCTTCGACCGGAGCCGCCCTCGCGGAAGATGTGTACGTAGTCACCACCACCATTAACGAGATCTCCGCTATTTTCGGCCTGACTCTCTCTCTCCCTCCTCCTCTCCCTCCCTCCCTCTCCACCTCCCTCTCTCTCCCGCCCTCTCTTTCTCCTTGCCTCCCCTCTGTCTTGGCATCTCTCTCCCCCCACCATCTTCTCCCACTATGTCTGTGCATCGCACCCTCGTGTTCCTGCCGCATCAACACCCCCCTCAAAGGTGGGAACCGAGACCCTGATCGACAAGTCCAAGTCAACCAAGACCGTCCTCATGTCTCTCTTCGAAGACAGCGGCAACGACGACATCGAGGGGGTGACTACGGTGAACGCCTGCTACGGAGGCACGGCCGCGCTCCTGAACGCCGTCGCCTGGGTCGAGAGCAGCGGCTGGGACGGACGCTACGCCATCGTGGTGGCAGCGGATATCGCGGTCTACGCAGAGGTGTGTAGGAGAAATGTGTCGCTTTGCAAGCCGCGCAGCGCCAGCCCTATGGTGTCATGTGAAACCAGGTTTCATGCTTGGCCTGTGTGAAACTTGTGACTCGAGCGTCCTGCTGTACAGTGTGTAGCGTGTGTTACTTGATATGCCACTATCCCTCTTCTGAGCATACCGTGCTTGATGTGTTGCTCTCCCTCTGTTCTGAACATCTGGCGCTTTTCTTTAACTCCCCTCCCCGTCTTCCGTCTGTCCTTGCCTGTGGATCGGGAAGGAAGAGCGAGAGACGTACACATGCTTCCGGCACTCACACCATCGATCACCGTATCGCTACCTTGTCTTTGCCGCCTTTTTTATCTCGTGCTGCGACAGGGGCCGGCACGCCCTACGGGGGGCTGCGGCGCGGTGGCTGTCCTGGTAGGGCCAGACGCCCCGCTGGTGATCAACATGAAGACCCGGGCATCATACGCTTGCGACGTGTGGGACTTCTTCAAGCCCGACATGTCTTCGGAGTACCCGCGGGTGAGCCGGGCGAAGAGCGAGGTTGTGACGCGCATGTGCGTGCGGCTGGTAGTAGCGGCCTGGGGCTATAGGGGTGGTGTCAGTCTACAGGGGACTGGAGCTATAGGGGTGACTTAACGGACTGTTTTTTTTTTTTATAGCGCCTGCTCTTGGATCGTGCCCCTGGTGCCATGCAAAGTCCACGGCTGTTTCGTGAAGGACGTCCAAGAACGATGCATACATATCGATAAAAGCTGCAAGGACTGCGTTTGTGAAAGTTTGGTATGCCGTGGGTGTCGTGGCGCGAGTATTCGCCTCTAACACGCTGTTGTGCCCGAAACTCGGCAGTATGCCTGGTGAACTTGTCAGTGTACCCACCGGATGGACACCCTATCGCCCCCCCCCGCATCACCCCCT